GTAGCCCAGGCTGGCCTCGAACTCACAGAGATCCGCCTGGCTCTGCCTCCCGAGTGCTGGGATTAAAGGCGTGCGCCACCAACGCCCGGCTTAATATTTTTATCTAGTAGAAATTGTTTCTATATTAGCATCCATCATTTGTCTGTATCTTTTCTGCTATGTGTGGGAATGTTAGAGTGTTTCCCATGAGTGATGATATGGTAATTTGTAGTGTGATTGTGGTAAATTTCCTTTCTTTATCTTTGTTTTGCTCTGTTTGTTTGTTTTTGGAGACAGGGTTTTTCTGTGTAGCATTGAATCACATTGAAATCACAGACATCAGTAAATCACCAAATGTGGGTATTAGGAACCAAGCTGTGTTCCCCTGCAAAATAATGAGCACTATTTAGTAGTGCACAAATATAAGTTGCTGTTTCATAACTTTGGCGTGACCTCTGTGATTATACCATGATATTGGACCTTTGTCAATAATACATGGCAGTTTCTTTGTACCAAGACTCAAAAGGGATTTTCATGAATAACAAATAAATGAGGGCACATTTACTTGACTTTGTGTTTTGGGAAGTTATATAAACAAACATTTATTGACATATGTGACCTTGGCATTCCTGTGTCACAGTATTTTCTATACACCCCAAAACAATAAAGCTATGTCTCTCCTTTCACTCCACCTCATCTCCCTGCAAACTCAATCACATTTACAATCAATATAAAACCTGTACTGAGTAAATGGGGGTATTATAATCAAAGAACACTAAAAGGAAGATATGGTGTTCAAAATAATTTCCATATTTTATGATTATTGTTTTTGTCTATATCTTTATTTTTGTAATAGATTTAAAATATTTATTCTAAATGAGGTATACAAATAAGAAACAAATTAACTTGTATTTTGTGGATACTTTTATGTTAGACCAAAAATTTTAAAATATGCAAGGAAAAAAATTAAAGTTATTAAAATGAGTGTAGTTTCTTCCTCAGATTGAACACAACATACTAGTAATGTGTGTATAGACTTGTCCATAATGGCATGTAATAAAATTAATGAAAAAATAGTATGGATTTGAAAATAAGAAAGAACTATTATATATGAGAAATTGTAAGAAGGGAAGGGATAGGTAAAATGTATTAATATTATATGAAAAAGAAAGGAAAATACAAAAGTATTACTTGTATTTTACAAAGAAATATAAACTGCATAGCTAAAGAAATCCTATTACAAAGTTCAGTAATATAAATTTACTTTAGTATTGTCATAAGAGTTAAACTCATACATATACACATACATAAACTTATATAAATATTATAAAGTAATTGAAATTCATCATAAAATATGGGGAGATATATTTTGAAAACTGAATCCCTTATACTATGAAGGGTGCCAGTATTTTCTTAATAATGTGGCAGTAATGTGTTACATGTCTTACTTCATGGCCAAAGTTATGCCTTTAGAGCCAAACTGGATCTTAAAAGACCATTTAAAACATATTTACACCTCCCTGTATGATGGAAAAAATACCCTATTTTGAAGCCCCTACAATCTTATGTCATCCTAGAAGAGAACATAATCTGTTGCTATTTAGAAGCTTAACTGGGATTGACTACATGTGATAGGACTGAAGGTTAATCTACATGTTAGTAGATTAAAATGAGAAGGAACAAAAATTTCCCACTCTCATGAGCTACATCCCCTAAAAGAGAAAATACTGAGCAACTCCCAAATATAATTTTGTTATAGTGGCCATGTAATCAGGGAAGGAATCAAGTAATTTTGAGGGATATGATTAAGACCATAAACTTGAAGAAATACCCCACGCTGCATTTAATGGCCAGGATCCTAAGACCAGAATGGTGACAGACTTATGCTGTGGGACGGTCTATATGTCAAATTGCTCTGATTGGTCAATAAATAAAACACTAGTTGGCCAGTGGCCAGGCAGGAAGTAGGTGGGACAAGGAGAGAGGAGAATTCGGGGAAGCGGAAGGCTGAGGCCGAGAGGCACTGCAGCCGCCGCCATGACCAGCAGCATGTGAAGACGCC